GCCCCGCATTGTTCCTGGGTCCCGGGCGGTGACTGCGGACACCCGGCGGCGGGACTGGGGAACTTTGGGGCCAGAGCGTGACCGGGGGCGCCCCCTTGGCACCGAGGCCTGAGACTGAAGAGACCCGGCCAGATCCATTACCCCCGAGAAACAAAACGAAAAGCCAGCACCTCTTTTTGTCTCGTTGAATCCCAGAACGTACAAAGGGTCGTAAAAGAAATGTAACTGTACATCGCAAGCCATTGAACTCTCCGGGCTGATTCGGGTGACATTTCCCCCTAAGCGCTTAAAAAATGGGTTTGACAGGTTGTCGCTCCCATCCTACGGAACCTTCCCCTCCTACCTAGCAGAGATCTCCTTTAAACTTGGATTTAGTCAGCCTGCTGGAAAGATTGTGTGTGATGAGGAGGAAGATTATGCAAGTTTTACAGGAAGCATTTTTAAAACCGAACGGGACGGGAGGGAGTTGTAGTTATGCATCGTGAGCGTTGCGCTGTGACCTGGTAGGTAGGCTTTTCATTAGCTCGGTCTTGTGCCACTTAAACGTGTACAGGTTAACTGTAGAATTAGGTGAGATATTTCGTATTTGACCTTAACACAGTTTGCAGTTAATGTTAAATTCATTGAAAAGAGGCTTTTGAACTCTGCCAGAGTGCTGTCTTGTCATAGCTAGCATTTATAGTACATTTTGCTTTTCCATGGATCACTAATTATTCCCTATATCATCTTGTGTCTCATCATTTTCATATATTTCTCATTTTCCTACGTTACTTTTTTATTATGCCAGGTGTTCAGAGAATTTACACCCAGGTTGATTTCATGTGTTTTAATGAGGGTAGAGAATTGTCTAAGAAGGAGATAGAGCAATTTAGAAAAGTAGCATTTCGTTTTTAATAATATTTATATTGGACTTTTTTCTATTTGTAAAGGAATGCTAAATTTCTGTAAATTTTTTTGAAAGCCTCCAGCCATTGCAGTTTGTTAGATGCAATATCAGTATCATTGATCACTTGTATGATATGGTTAGGAATGTACGTGAACTTAAATTACAAAGCCACATTTATTCCTATGGATTATTTACTTAGTTCATATAGAGATAACTCAAAGTACTGTACCGTTAATAGTACAGTTATCAGAATGTCACATATGGAACAGTGGTGTAGACAATGAATTAGAAATGTCATTTTTAACATTTTTAAGCAGTTGATAGAAATAAGGTGCTGGATAGGAGAAAAAGCGGTTTATCTCCATTGATGTGGGATTATGACTGAGTCTCTTAGCTATTGGTATTTATAATAACACTTATCATGATTACCCCTCCTGCAGCCACTTGATATGTTTTCATTGCTCATAAAAGAATTGCACTTATCTTAAAAATTGAAACACTATTTCAACACTGATTTGTATGGAGGTGGAATTACAGCTGTAGACATAGCCTCAGAATATCTCCCAGCAGAGGATACTTTTCTAATTGTGTACCTTTTTAAAGCTGAATCTGTTAGGTTCTAATGAAGACTAATACTGGTTTCAGATACATTTATTTCAGATACTATATTTATATTGTGTGTGTGTGCCTGCGTGTGTGTACCCCTTCACTAACAACTGGGCAGATAATTTCTTTAGGGTGAAGACTTAATCTGGTATTTTCTGAATATTTGGGGGAGGGGTCAACTCTTTTCCTTAGAATAATGAATCCAGACATTATTTTGACATGAATACATTCATATTATGAAGATAATAGTCCATGAATAAAGATTAAAATGAACAGAAGAAAGCTGTGTAGAAACCACCATGAGATAAAGTAGGAAACTGTCCTTTCTGCACTGTGGCTGAGTTGATAATTTGTTTTCCACTTAATATTCCGGGATCCTGTGTTTGCCTTATAACTTCGTTGCTTGTGAAATAACTGTAACTGTTTTTCCTCCTTCAGATTAATAGTTTTATACAAGGTCTTCTAAGTGTTCAGTTGGGTGTGTGAGTTCCGTAGCCAGCCACATCTGGTTCTTTTGGAGTTGCATAAAAGCAGGGTTGTGGATTTGATTGAACCATACTTAGTACAAGTTTTCCTTCTGGTTATTTTATTAAGGAATTATGATGGAGGATTCTGTGGTTAAAAGAGAGATCTTGGGCAATGTTTATTCATTAAAAATTGCTATTTTGTTAGTGTAGTTTGGAGAGGCAAGGCTCCTTTGGGCCAAAGCTGCTCTGAAACTGTAGTAGCAGTGCCATTTTAGTAACTTGGTTTGGTGTGCTAGCTTCAAAACTGGGATTATGTTTCACTTTAGGCAAGCAAGAAGCAGGGTTTCACTTAGATCAGGGAAGTGGCCCAGAGGCCAGACTGGTCTCACAGACATATTTTTACAGCCTATGAAATAAGAATGGCTTTATATTTTTTAAATGGTTACCAAGAAAATATCAAAATAACATTTTGTAATACATGAAGTTTCATTTATGAAATTCAAATTTATTTGTGTCCACAAATAAAGTTTTTTTTTTGAGATGGAGTCTCGCTCTGTCACCCAGGCTGGAATGCAGTGGCCCAATTTTGCTTCACTGCAACCTCTGCCTCCCAGGTTCAAGTAATTCTCATGTCTCAGCCTCCTGAGTAGCTGGGATTACAGGTGCATGCCACCACACCCAGCTAATTTTTGTATTTTTCAGTAGAGATGGGGTTTCACTGTGTTGGTTAGGCTGATCTTGAACTCCTGCCCTCAAGTGATCCTTCTGCCTGGGCCTCCCAAAGTGCTGGGATTACAGGTGTGAGGTACCATGCCCAGCCCACAAATAAAGTTTTATTGAAAGAGAACTACCACATTCATTTACCTGTGGTCTGCAAGCTCCCAGGCTACAACAGCAGCATATTTGCTACTGTATGGCCTGCAAGCCTAAAACATTTACTATGTGGCTTCTTACAGAATAAAGAATTTTTGCAAGAGAAATTCCCAGCTTTCTTAACAGCTTTTTTTTTTTTTTTTTGAGACAGGGTCTCACTCTGTCACCCAGGCTGCAGTATAGTGGCACAATCTCGGCTCACTGCAGCCTTGACCTCCTGGGTTCAAGCGATTCTCATGCCTCAGCCTCCCAGTAGCTGGGATTATAGGCGTGCGCCAGCACACCCGGCTAATTTTTTTGTAGTTTTAGTAGAGACAGGGTTTCACCATGTTGGCCAGGCTTGTCTTGAACTCCTGGCCTCAGTGATCCACCCACATCGGCTTCCCACAATGCTGGGATTACAGGAGTGAGCCACTGTACCCGGCCTCCAACAGCATATTCTTAATCACAGGTTGCAGGGTGGGTAGATTGACTCTCTGGGAAGAAATAGAGGCAGGCAGTGAGAAACTAGTAGATATTGTCACTTTTCAATGTTGGCAGACTCAGAATTTAAAAAGACAACAACAAAAAACTTAGGATCTATTCTTTTTGTTGCATTGTACCTAGTGCTTAAAGTTAATGCATCTATTACGGGAGCTACTGAAACTATGAAAGGACCCGTAGGCCCCAGGTTCTTGGTAGTAATAGCTGTTCAATAGCTTCTCAATTGATGGAGTGAAAAAATTGTTACAGAACTCGTTGAACCAAACCACAGCGATTTCTCCAGGTGACATACTACAAGGTGTTTTAAAAGCACAGATAACATTAAATATCCGGACTTATTAAGGTGTAACTTAAAATTGCAAGTATGTGTATAGGAGTGACTTATTTTTTCACTTTCTTATATAAGCTCAGAACTGTGCTATGCCACAAGTGATGATGAATTCAAGAAAGAATTAAAATCCTTTTTTTCCCCCAAATGAAAAAATACTTGGACAGCCTAGCCAGAGCCAAACACTGTGCTAAAGGACGGAGTGTTTCCTGTCCCTTTACCCCTCATTTACCTTGTGGAGGCAGACTGGAGTCAGGCATGAGTTAACAATGCTTCAAGGATAGTCAGCCAGCTAAGCCGGACAGACAGTGATGGATTGGTGTCCTCCTCTGAACTGCCTTCGAGAGTCTGGAGGCCTTTGCAGCTGAATACCAAAGAGACTTCGGAAAGGATTTCTCTCCTTCCTCATAATCTGTGTTGAA